GGGGGGAGGGGGGGAACTTATAGTGGGAGGAAACTGGAGTACCCAGAGAAAATCCACATGGTCACTCAGGCAGGTGAACCCATACCTTTTCACACCCAATCGGCGAATCAAACCCTGGACGCCTTTGTGCTATCCACTGTGTCACCAAATCACTCATTATGAAGTAAGTTGATTTAATGTTTCTGCTCACAGATTTTCCAGAGAGCACGAGCCGGTGCTCCGTCCATCCTCTTCCTGGACGAGATTGACTCCATCATTGGCAAGCGGTCAGACTCATCCAGTCAGCGTAGTGTCCAGGAGCGAGTACTGTCCACTCTTCTCAATGAGCTGGATGGTATTGGTATCAGAATGGATGACCAAGTGGTGGGTGGGGCCAAAGTTCTGGAGGGAGATGTGTGTCCAGATGAGAGTGGTCAATGCAGCAGAAAGGTGGGTTAGGGCACTCTTTTGAGAGTATCTTCAAAGCCGTACTGAAGATAACATTGAAATGAACTTTGGCCGAGTCTAACTTTTTCCCTCTACTGGAAAAGCTAATTTTGTCCTTCATATTTAATGACAATGTATATTGTGCCCTGTATTAATATTCTCTGTCAAGATAAATTTGCCCTCATTTTGGAGGGTGAAAAAGGGAAAAGTTCAACTGTGGAAAATATTTCCTGTATACAGTATTCTGTAACAGTAACACCATATTTCATAAATCACAAACCAGTTTTTCATTATTATCGAATGTGCATTGCCTTGTCAAAATAATCTGGTGATAAAGATTTCTACTGATTGTTCACTTTTTGACAGAGAAACAGTGTTCGTGAGACCTTAGACAGGAGGAATGTGGTAGTTGTGGCTGCCACAAACCGCCGAGACCTCCTGGACGAAGCTCTGGTCAGACCTGGCCGCATGGACAGGATCCTCTATGTACCTCCTCCTGACACTCAGGTAGTTTGACTTAACATGCTCCCACAAACACAAGTCCCTGAGTTAATTATCTTGTGTCCCTATGTCTTTTGATTATCTTCTGTGTTAGTGTCTTTCGATTATCTTGTGTCCCAGTGTCTTTGATTGTCACATGTCCCTGTGTCTGTTAATTATCACATGTCCCTGTGTCTGTTAATTATCACATGCCCCTGTGTCTGTTAATTATCACATGTCCCTATGTCTGTTGAATATCACATGTCCCTGTGTCTTAATTATCTCGTGTTCATGTGTCTGTTTATATCACATGTCCTTGTGTCTGTTAATTATCACATGCCCCTGTGTCTGTTAATTATCACATGTCCCTTTATCTGTTGGACCACATGTCCCTATGTCTGTTGAATATCACCTGTCCCTGTGTCTTAATTATCTCGTGTTCATGTGTCTGTTTATATCACATGTCCTTGTGTCTGTTAATTATCACATGCCCCTGTGTCTGTTAATTATCACATGTCCTTGTGTCTGCTGATACCACATGTCCCTGTGTCTGTTAATACCACATGTCCCTGTGTCTTAATTACCTCATGTCCCTGTGTCTTAACTACCTCATGTTCCTGTTTCTGTTTATATCACATGTCCCTGTGTCTGTTAATTATCACATGCCCCTGTGTCTCTTAATTATCACATGTCCCTGTGTCTGTTTATATCACATGTTCCTGTGTCTGTTGATTATCACATGTTCCTGTGTCTTAATTACCTCATGTTTCTGTGTCTTAATTACCTCATGTTCCTGTGTCTGTTGGTTATCTTGTGACCTTGTGTCTGTTTGTTATCCAATGGTCAGGTTATGTTAATTGTCACAAGTCCCTGTGTCATTTGGTCATTTCATGTTACTTCATCAGTTTAAATCATTTAATTGTGTCTTAAACATTGTCACGATTTTCCACCAGCCATACATGTGTCGTGTTTTTGTAACGTTTGTTACCACATACTCCTGTGTCTCTTGATTACAGAACACCATTGTGTCTGTTGGAGATTTCATGCTTAGATGTTCGTTGTCTATGTCCTGCCCCTGTGTTTCGTTTTATGTCATACCCCTGTGTTTACTGATTACCATATACAAATAATTTTACCTCTGTGTTTGTTGATAACAACAAATACCTAGCCTGTATGTGTCATTTGTCTCTATTTGTCTTACTGTCTGATTTCTGTGTCAATAACCACCAGTCGTTGTGTTACAGGCTCGGAGACAGATCCTAAACATCTATACCAGACACATGCCTGTACAGGATGTTGACCTAGACGGCATTGCCATGGCGACAGAGAACTATACTGGAGCAGACCTAGAAAATCTCTGTAGGGAGGTAAGTTTCATCTGTAGTCTTTTCCAGAATGTTGAAATATTTAGCTTTGTTGCTGAAATTTAAATATTATTATATGATACTTTATGTAATGTGATAAAAATTTGAAAATCAGGCGCTGATCTTACAGTTAGCGACATTGTGCGCAGACAAAGAGAATATGTTAACACCAGGTGGATGTAATTATTGATACATCAGTTAAGATAGTCATCTAAAATGACAAGAAACACATGCGTTTATTATTTTGAGACTTATTGTGGAAAAACACTGTACAACAGGACATTTTTTCCCAGCTAAATTTTCCCTTCACCATTGAGGCACATATGAGTCACATGTGAAGGGCAGATTTAACAGTATGCCATAACAGACTTTGCTAGTGAAGGGGGAAAGTTACCTGATATGCAATGAGCTTAAATGATTTACCCTAAAGTAGTTCCAAGTCCTTTACTAAATTTCTCTAAAAGCATTTATTTGTTACCTTTTTATACTGATAGTAGAACAAATATTCGAAAAATATTACACATGCATATTGTAGTTGTAAGGCAAGAGGATTACATTGTATTGATATTTCAACATGTGTTTCATATATTTTTTCAAATTACATACCAGGTAATATAAGCATCTGTGTCAGAGGAATAAGTGAATCTATTCATGCATGAAGAAGCTTAATTTTCGAGTACATAATGTTCAGAGCAATACTATTTGTTAATTTTGATGCTGCTTTGTTTTACAGGCAGCACTGAAAGCATTAACAGTGGATTTACGTGCAGATGTAGTGAAAATGGAACACTTTGAAAGTGCATTAAAAATTGTAAAACCTTCCCTCACTGGAAACATGATACAGAAATCCCAACCTACAAAACCATGGAGCTTTTGTCCAAAGGAACACTGATGATGTTAAGGGCATTGTGTAAAATTCAAGGAAGGACAACGGCACCAAAGTTAAATTTCATCAAAACCTTGTACTCCGGGAAGGTTTAGCTGCAATAACATAGCTTCTGACAATGAGACAATTTTAACATATCGCGTCGTCAGACCGGGCACAAGAGGCCGATTATCAATATTAATACAAAATTTTACTAAATATAATATTATGTGTGGTAACGGTCATGATGTGTTTCGTCATACTCCGCCCGTCAATAAGCACGGTAGTACAGTGGTAGGACGCCGGGCGTGTGACCGAAGTGTTGCGGGTTCGCGCCACGGCATCCTTGAGCAAGATACTTTACTCCGCTTGTTCCAGTCTACTCAGCTGTAAATGAGTACGTGGTTTGGCAGTGCTAGAATTGTTGAATGCTAGCTGTTAGCGCCGAAATGACAGCTCCGGCTGTAAGCTCCCCAGGGAGTTGAGAAATGTACTGGCTAGTTGCAAAGGCACTATAACCACGGATTTTTTTTGTGAACCGCTTTGAGACGACCTACAAACTAGGTTGTGATAAAGCGGTATATAAGAACCTCCAATTATTATTATTATTATTATTATTAACCACCTGTATCAAAATAAATAGACCTACCGGTATGCTTTTATTGCTGTAATATCAGTTTGTAAGTATATCAGAAAGTCATTTAAATCTATTACATTTAAGTTCATTAGTTGTGTTCAGTTTAGCAGTTTTGGCAAACATTATGTACACACACAATATCGCAAAAACTTCTTACTTATACTTCTGAATGTTTTTGCATTATTGAAGACGTAACAGGTCAGTTTATCATCAAAATAATGACTGTCTACCCATAGTCATATGTTATTGACTTTTTTGAATAGATAATATTTAAAACTTCAAGTTTTAAACTTCAAGTTTTAAACTCAACGATTACAAAAAATGATCTGAACCGAAACATTATGATTTTTAAATGGTAGCTTTAATATGCAAAAGAGTTTAAAAGGACGATCAATTGTGATATCGTTCACCCCCTACAGATTCTAATCACCTTATGTACACTTGTTATTATTAAAGAGGAAATATTGAAAGCAGTTCACGTTCTTGTTGATATTTAAAAGGCATGTAATACCCCCAACAACAACCCTATACAACATACGTTGAGGTCGTCCCTGTCAGTTTAATATTTGATAATGTTAAACATCCATATTATGTGGTTAAGGGCAAAGTATGAAGTATTAGAAAAGTCTATTGAATGTTACCTGACGTGCTTCTTAGAAAGTAATTCTTTGAAAGGTACGTGAACATGGAAAGCGCAGTAGAGATCATCCCAAAGACAAGGCAAAGATTAATAGACAAAGTATGGACAACCATCAAAATATACCAGGAGGCAGATCGACAACATTGACAATTAACACAAAAGTGCATTAAGGAAACGAACACCTTGATTGACAAAGTTAATTATATCGATAATTTGAAAAATGATCAGTTGTGTTTTAGAATGGGTTATAGGCCCACACTTACTTTATTTTCGCATCTTCCTGTCAATAAAATCAGTTGATAAAAAAGCAAAGGAATTTAAAGAGAGAGAGAAATGAAAATATGTACTAATTGTCTTTTGAGATGCAATGGGTAACGCAAGCCTCCTTTATAAAAGTATCCCCGATTGGCGTATCTTCAATGTGTTTCCGTCATGGAAGGATGAAAAATTACTGGACAATGTACCACGATAAGAGACCTCTAAATGATATAATGAGTGCTGAACATATACTATTCATACTATTCACAGCTAGGTATGAACTGATAATATGCTTCAAGTCTTCCATCGGAGCTTATGTCAATATGTGAACTTTACAGTGGGCTCATAAGTTTTCCTGAAAATAAAGGATTGAAGCAGTTTTGTAAATGTGTATCAAGAGCAATGTAAGCTAGGATCATTGTTGAAACTTTTTGTTGAAACTTTTTTGTTGATTTTGTGTACACGCACAGTCTTGATTATAGCAAATAATACATGATAACAAATTACACGTACTCTTGATTTATCATTATCATTATAGAAATTATTATTATGAAAACTAAGAATATTATTCAATGTTCATGAATGATTATACATACATTGTATATATGACAACTAATCACAAAACTAACAAGACTGACGGAAGGTAAACATTTTATTTTAACTGTACATTGTACATTAAAAAACAAGTTCATACACTCTCAATCAGTATATTATGTCTCATTAAGGTGAATGGCTTGGCCTGTGCGCTCAGATTTGTTACTTCATGATCAGTTGTGATTGATCCATTGGAAATGCATGTCATTTGAAGATTGTGTCGATAATAGTCACTGCATGATTACTTCAATAGTACAATGTACATGTCATGAATATTTTTAAATGTATGTGGCTATTATTTCTTATTTGTCATATTCAAAGCTTTGTGGTGGACATCGAACTCCCATGTTCAACTTGTTTTTCTCACCTATAACTAATCATCGTATGTGCTATTGTTGTAATAAGGAATATAAAATAACTTCTATATCGTTATCTGAAACAGGATTATGCAAAACTGATCAGCAGAGACAATATATTATGTCTTTAAAGAAAGACGGGCTTGACCTATAGGCATGAATTTGTTACATAAACCAAAACAACTGATCAGAAATTCTCGGGCATGTGGACAATATACTATGCATTATTTATATTGTACACGTAAACCTCTTTTGTGGATTTTCAAAAATACATAATTCAGAAGCATGTTCATTTTTATCTCATTGCACATACATGTACAATGAACATTTTCGTCAGACGTTGTAAATGTGGGACCTATGTGTCATTTTCCGGTGACGGTTGAGACGTCAACGTTAAGTATTTGTGTTGAGTTCTGTTTCTAGAAAGTCTAAAGAGACCAATTTCGGACCATCGTTGTACCGTAGCTTCTTCATTGCAGTTCATGCATCAGATACAAAATAAGGCATGCAGTATTTCCTGGTCCTGTTAAAGCATCTTTATCAGTGTTAAATGTTTGCCTTTATCTGGGTGTTAGTGTTGATTCTCATTAAGTTTTAGTCCTACACCTACTAAGCCTACACCTTAGACTCATCCCGGGCAGTACATCTTATTTCAAACATCACCTGCTGTTTGGGTCCAAGTTTATACAGTCCAGTGGCTCCTGTCAGTTTCCTCGTCAGTGTTAAGTGTTTTACTTAAATCTGTGTGATAGATGTTGTATCTCAGAGAGATGATTTAGACCCAGAACAACCAAACCTGCACCATACCTACATCAAGGTCAGTACAGCTTACTCCAAGCATCAAATAATGTATTGGCCCTTGTTTTTACGGCCTATCGACTTGAGTTATTTCCTAATCAGTGTATATTTTGTGTGTTTAGCTGTGTTTTTTCAGAAATTGTGAACAACGCTTTTTGGACCACAAATAGTTTATGGGTGTTCTATCTGGTTGCCTGCTTTGTATGCTGAATATAACCTTGACTTCATGGTCAAGTTACTTTTTCAATATCCTTATTTGTGTTAACTTGTCCTTTGTTTTTCTTAAAGCACCGATCCCCACCAACCAACCCTCCATTTCCCCATTTGTTTTTCAAAAGTGCTACACCAATCAAACTTGACGTTTAGACCATTTTTAAACATTTTCTGCAAGTACTTTTACACAACCAATAACATTTTCTATGTGACGTTGCGATGACTATGATATGTACACTGTCATCTTCATCAGACAAAGGACCAGTGAAACGTATGCACATAAGGTGTAAAATGTGTACGAGTTGTCCACACAAATCGATGTCGATTCGGCTACGCTGTAAGCGTATGTACAATAGTTGTTATACATGTACCGAAATGACTCGATTCAGCTACGCTTTGTTTAATACTTGGTCATAGATGTGCGAGAGTCTTTGAGCCCCCTCGTTTCAATTTAGAACTGGCCCACTGCGGCGTATCCAGATGGCTTCCTTTATCTGACACTTGAACAGCTGGCTCTGTCTATCCAAAACTTTGGAGTTATCCCAGTCAATTTTCTCTGTGGCATGGTCTGTGATTGCCGATTTATTTAGCTGGGACCCCGACTGCTTCTTTTCCAATCTGGTGAACTTCCTTTCTTCTTGGGTTTCCATATCTTAACGGTGTTCACCAAGGCGGACCCCAAATCGCCTTCCAGTCTCTCCAATATACGACGCGTCGTTGTATACGCATTCTGCGACGTTTTCCTTAGGTGTTTTGTCCTTAGAGTGTTCTAGGATATTGCGAAGCGTCTTGTGGGGCTTCATCGCTGATGCTATGCCATGGCCGCGATATATCCTCTAGATGGTTTCGGATATACCCTTACCACTTAGACGCTTCATCGGAAGTACATATAGATACATATACGAACACCCGATATCACATTCTTTTAAGCGATAAAAACTTAATTAAGTGCACGTTTTCTGAATTAGAAATTCAAACTTTATCTAGTTTGAAATATTGTAAAAGTTTAACAATAAGGTCAACATTTTCTTAATTTAAAAATTCCTTCTTTAATTTGATTTAAAGATCTTGATTTAATTAGATTGAATTTTGATATGACTTTTCTATTTTGATTAAAATATTTAATTTACAGTTTTTATTCTGTTGAAATGATATTTTAAGAACATGGAAACTGATTTTTATTTGAATATTAGAAGGGTTTTTTTTGCATTTAGCTTAGTTAATTTGAATGAATAAATCCTAGACCGACTATCGTTTCACCATATATGCTGTGTGGATCCTTAATTGTTTGGTCCTTCAATATTGTCAGTTAAATCACCGTGTTCTGCTTTTCTCTCAATCTCAAATATGGCCAAATCGGGGACAGGTGAGACATATAATTCTGTTGTGTTCTTTTGTGTGTTTTCGTTCATTTTTATTGTGTTGATGATGTTAAATTCCATTTATCAAAGAAAGTTACTTTAATATCATTTAACCAATTCACAATGTTACCAAATGCATACAATTATATCTACACTAACGAGAAAAAACCTTTTAATACGATTTCAATTTTAAAATAGGAACCTCATAGCGTTGACTAACAGTTACGGGTAATATTCAAATGCATATCTGAAAGAACCACAAGTAACCAACCATAAACGGACGCCAGTGGTCGATTTTGCTACATTTTCGGAGAGTGTAGCGCAATCAACTGTAGGTATCCGACGATGACACTCCACATGCGATTATCAAATCTTGCCTGTTGGGTCATTTAGTTCACAGATGTATTTTCGGTTTCAATTTAGAGTATCATATATTTTATACGTTTGATATATCATGTATCAAGATTCTCACTTTCTTTCTTTACGCTTGGGGTTTTCTTTTCATACGAATTTGGATGGTCCTTTTTTTCTAATGTGTAATCCCTGTAATGTTTGTCCCGGATATATATCCTAACATTACGTCACTAGAGAGTAATATAACATGGAGGTATGAATTGGGTATTACGCTGTATAACAAATAGTGTAGCGAACATTGCAAAACATGTACGACTTGTTGATTAAAATTTACCGGGCTACGCATAGAAACCACCTAAGCGTTTGGGTATTTCAAAGTTGCTTTAGGAAATAAACACACTGATTTATATTAGCGACCATGATTTTAACGCGTCAAAAGACCTAATAATTCAATAGATTAAACTTCGTTATTATATTTGTTCAAAACGTTAACAGCAAACGAGCATTTCCCTTAAAGTTATATGTTGTTAGGTATCCACCTGAATAGCAACTTGTGTCATTAAACGTAATTACGAACAGAGAAGTGACATGTGTGTGTATTTATGTGATATACAGATGCCACATGTACTTTTCATGCATACTTATTTCATATGTGAATGAGCTATTCTACATGTACAACGGAATAATAATAGTATTTTATGAAAAGAGTACTTAAAGCTGGTACAAAGATGATATCGATCAATCTTTCAATACAAAATACGTATATTCACATGTGCATACATACATTGCACTTTCAATACAACTCGAGAGAGCTAGTTAATAACCGTTGTATATGTGACGTTATATACCCCTTATCTAGACAAACACCCTCGCACACACACATACACACTCACTCCTCCGACACTCCCAGTCGACTACCCGGCTACCCCTGGCAATGGACACAAACATCAACATCTCACACAACCTAGCACACAGATCATCAGACAGCTGGTCACCTGTGACGAACGTATCAACCGTGACTAGTGAAGACAGTCGACACTAGAGACGTTTCGTTACATGCCTTAACGCAACACCGTATACAAATATATGGCAGAAAGCGAGAGACAACCGTACCTGACGCTGGTATGTATAATATCTGCACGTGGTTATATCGACTCGGGACACAGTTTGTCATGAAAATCAACATTTCTGTTTCCAATGACGTAATTGTTTTATTTTGTATGTAAATAAACACCTCGTGTTGGGAAAGCATACTATTAGGGGGATGCACACATTACTCCGAGAGTCGAAAGTATATATAGCTAATAATGCCTACATCCTCATAACGGGGTATCGGTTATGTTTAGCTTTGATTCAGATTTACCAACATGAGACAGGTCCGTTGCTGTAAAATATAGATACAGTCACCTTTCATCACGCGTCTTTGATTTACGTACGGTGTATACAATGCTTTGCTTTTTACGATTTGCCTGTTATTGATTTCAGACAGTGATATATCGAGCTGTAGGTACATATGTATGTTGTTTACCTGTGTTATTATCAGGTACAATCCGATATGATTCACCGTAAAATGCATCTTGTGACCAGTTTGTACAGCAGCACTGTCGATTTAAATACATGTTATGTCAAGTGTTGTTAACAGGTAAGATACGCTTTCAATTAAGATATATAAAAGACACCAAATTTTCAGCGGTGTTTATAAAGCTTATTCTACTGAATCATGGAAAATCACTGCATATCAACAATAGACAAATGTACATAAAAGGAGTTTAGATGTATGCGTAATATATTGTAACTATTATATACACGCTCGACGGAGTATAACTGAAGCACATGATACTGCAAGAGTTAAATGGCAATTACAAGTGGTATCGCTAGCGATCAGGACATCGTCTGGCTAGCAAAGTATTTTTTGTTACAAGATAGAAACTGTACATTAAGTGAATTTAAATAAAAATATCTGCGCATGTATATATTATACGATACACCGGCAGACCTTATGTGTTGTAAGATCTTACAGGAACATAATATGAGACACAAATGTTAAAAACGTACATGTAATATCTGGTACACTGTATATTTAGCAATTATATGCAATAGTTTATATGCAATGTCACTTAATAAATCATTTATTTAATTTATTTGTCAAAAATAGGAAAACTTGAGGACAGTATACATTTGTCATGTGTACGTAAATTACAATGAATAGCAGTACTAAGAACGTGGTAATAGGACATGGTTAAGAGATATGCATTTTCATCTTCGTAGATTGGATTGCATAAGATGCACGAAATGACACAGCCTTCTGACGCAAACGTTGAAGAGTAACTCAGGCTATTTGGTACGTCGTGTTAGCTTATACTGTATCCATGAAAAGCTTCACAATGAACCACATATACCATCTAGCTCGAGGTTAGGCATGTCACTGTTCAGTAGAGCATGGTTAATGTACTCGATATCGCAATGTTAGACTCCTGCTACCCGTTTTACCTTTCATATTCAAAATATCATTTAACTGCATTCAACCCTATAACTCCATACAATCAAGATTTAAAGTTATTTAGAGAAATATTTTGGGCTGAATATCGTCCAGGTCCACGCTGGTAAGTAGGAGAATACTTATAGATTTCAATGAGGACAGGGTCAATGATGTGGTAACTAGGATGTGTGATTGCAAGAATGATTGTGCACTTTATGCTGGAAAATAAATCATAGTTTCGTTTATAAACATGATGTCATATAGGCCTAAGATTCTTCAGTTGTTTGGTGGTTTTTGTAATGTATTCATATAACGTAACAATTTCCATGTGATGTCGTTGTCGTCATTGTTCATGTATGTAAACAATGCTGTAATTCGTTTGATCTTAGACACTGTATATTGATGTATATGTCCTCAATTCTTTGTATTTGCATGTGAAAATATCACCTTTTTTAGATTTGATTATTTCCCTTTGATAAGTATGTCCTGGTTTTTAGTAGATGAAACAAATTGTCGATTGCTTGTTCTTAGTTTATTGATATAGATATTGTCGTATGATTGTTATTTGTTGTTGGTGTAAATAATGTCGTTTGATTAGGTCTCGGTTTTTATGTAAATGTAAATATTGTCGTACGACTTTATTGTGGTCTGTTTGTAGGTAAATATTGTGTTATTAATTGTTTTACATATGTACGTTTGCTTATTCCTTGGTTGGTAAATATAGATATTGTTGTATGATTATTTTTGTATGTGTAAATAATGTATTATTCTGTCTCGGTTGATTTGTAGATGGAAATTATACTCTCGTATTGCTTCCCATGCCTTATATCTTTACAGTTTTTTTCATATGGTCCTTAAACAGGTGTAAATTAATTAAATATTTGTTCCCGTAGATTCATAATCAAATTGTCTATGAAACAAATCACATGCTTCATTATACCAATACAATTTAACGTTTAGCAAGACTTGACTATTTGATAGACCTTTTAATTTTATAATAACTCTTTGACTCTGTTTTGTGTGTTTCCCATTTTAGCAAAGCGCCTAATTTATACTTATTAAGTACTTATTGATTATATTTGATCTTTCTCTGGAAAATGCTTTCGAAGTGACTTCAATGACCTGTAAAACAAATAATCATTATAGAAACATTCGAACACAAGTTATATTCTTGAAAATATCTGTAAAGATAACATTATCAGAAATAGATAATCAACAAAGTTAATACGTCCTAGAAATATCAAGAACGATATCTCCAACAGTTTAACACAGTTTAGGTCTATTTAATAGAAACGAACATAGATGTTAATCAGATACTATTTGCCAGGACCGTACACATGCTACACATAGCTGTGTGCGTATAATCAACATAACACGTTAAGTGGGTAATTTTCTACGCAGGTAGAAAATGAAGCAACCCTGTAACATTGTTTTTCAAAACCTAACCCGCTGAACATTATTTTTTT